GTTGGACATCTAGGTTGTTTCCAAGTTTTGGCTATTGTAAATAGTGCTGCGATGAACATCGGCGTGCATATATCTGTTCTTGTTATGGCTCTCACTTCTTTAGGGTATATACCTAGTAATGGGATGGCTGGGTCAAATGGTATTTGTATCTCCAACTTTTGAAGGAATCGCCATACTGCTTTCCACAATGGTTGTACCATTTTACAGTCCCACCAGCAGTGTATGAGAGTCCCAATCTCTCCACAACCTCGCCAGCATTTGTTATTTTCTGTCTTGTTGAACTTTGCTACTAGTGCTGGAGCAAGATGGTATCTCATTGTTGTTTTGATTTGCATCTCTCTAATAGCTAATGATCGTGAGCATTTCTTCATATGTTTGTTGGCCGCTTGAATATCCTCCTTGGTGAAGTGTCTATTCATGTCTTCTGCCCATTTTTTAATTGGATTGTTTGTCTTTTTGTTATTGAGGTGTTGGAGTGTTCTATAAATTCTAGAGATAAGTCCCTTGTCAGATATGTTATTACCAAATATTTTTTCCCAATCTGTAGGTTCTCTTTTGACTCTTTTGGAGAAGTCTTTGGAAGCACATAAACATTTAATTTTTAGAAGGTCCCAATCATCTGGCTTCTCTTCTGCTGTTGGTGCATTTTGAATTATGCTTGGTAGTCTATTTATACCAAATATTAGGGCCCTTAAGTTTGAGCCTAAATTTTCCTTGAGAAACTGTATAGTTCTAGGTTTCACATTTAAGTCTTTGATCCATCTGGAGTTTGTTTTTGTGTGTGGTGTGAGGTACATATCTTGTTTCATTTTTCTGCAAATGGATCTCCAGTTTTGCCAGCACCATTTATTAAACAAACATTCTCTTCCCCACTTAATGGATTTGGGGCCTTTGTCAAAGATCAGCTGACTATAGGTTGATGGATCTATACCTGGGTTCTCAATTCTATTCCATTGGTCTATGTATCTGTCATTGAACCAATACCAGGCAGTTTTGACTATTGTGGCTGTATAGTAGGTTTTGAGATCCGGCAATGTGAGACCTCCTACTTTGTTTTTCTTCTTCAGTAGTGCTTTGCTTATCCGAGGTCTCTTTCCTTTCCATATAAAGTTAGTGATCATTTTTTCCATATCCCTAAAGAATGTTGATGGGATCTGGATTGGGATTGCATTGAATGTATAGATTGCTTTGGGTAGAACTGACATTTTCACAATGTTCAGTCTTCCTATCCATGAGCATGGGATGTTTTTCCATTTATTTAGGTCTTTTATAGTTTCTTGAAGTAGCTTTTTATAGTTTTCTTTGTAGAGGTCTTTTGTGTCTCTGGTAAGATTTATTCCCAAGTATTTTATTTTTTTGGTAGCTATTGAGAACGGTATTGATTTTCTTATTTCTTTTTCAGCAATCTCTTTGCTGGTGTAGAGGAATCCAACTGATTTTTGGATGTTGATCTTACTGATATCTCCTTTAAACCAAGCAATAGTTTAGATTAACTAATAAAGAATGTCTGCCTTGGTCATTGTGGTCTTTTCAGAATTATCTATGTAAGATCCAACTGACAACAGCAACTCATAAGGCTGGATAAGAAACCTAGGGACAGTGAGTTTATGTTAATGAGGGAGAAACAACTCCAAAAAGGAGGGTGAGAATGGTTGCACAACCGAAGAATGTAATCAATGCCATGAATTGTACGTGGAGAAACTGTTGAATTGTGTATATTCTGCTGTGTGTATTCTCAACAACAAAGATCAATAAAATACATTTTAAAAAATTGCTTTTGCTCTGCTCAAAAATAGAAACTGTATGTTATCTTATTCCTTGGACATATATGAATCTGAAAAATCCCCCTGTTGACCAAGAATGGTCTGGTTCACTTCATGCTCCTGAAACTTCTCGTTCAAAGGTCACCCACAGAGCCAGCTTCATAGGTGTGTGTCCTGTGCACTAACGCAGGGCCTTACACTCAGAAGTGCTTTGCATTTGGTTTCCTGTTTTGCTGTTGCCATCTTGAAATTCTTAACAGTTTTGGAACAAAAGTTCCAACATTTTCATTTTGCACTAGACCCCACAAAGTATGTGTCCAATCCTGGCCACCCATAATCTCTTACAAAACCCAGCAATGTTTTCTTTCTCAGAAATGTCTCCAGAGCATATGACTTCAGAACTTGTGAAAGTCCTCCCTGGTCTCTGTGACACCCCAGTGTCCCATATTCTTCCACCACTCTGACCTGGTGGGAGTGATACAGGGTTTGACACAATACTGTGGGTGTCATGAGGGGTCAAAAGGCAAGGAATACAGGATATTGGCAAGGGTGGCATAGAGGAAGGAGAGGGGCCAACTGGTGATAGGAGATGGTTAGACAGGGAATCAGGAAATGGGCTCTGGTCTCATTTGGGACACTGACTCACTGTATAACTCTGGTCACATCCCCTCTCTAGGCCTCAGTTTACCTATGTGCAATCTAAGAGTTTGGGGCTAGATAGTCTGAAAGATCCATTCCAGTTCTGTCATCCTTTGAAGCTCTAAGTTCTAGGACCAAACTGGAGATGGTGCAGGTAGGATGTTGAGGTGCTACAAGAGGCTGAGCTATGTGTTGGCCAAGGCAGCTGATGACCAGGGCTGAAGATCAAGGGAGTTAAAGAGGATAAGGTAAGGTAACGGATGAGCTAAGGTAATGGATGGGTCATCCACACAGGTATAAGCATCAGGGATCCCTTGTCACCCCTACCCCTACAGAGCACAGGAGACATGGTGGAAAGAAAGAAAGAA